CTGAACTGACCTGATCCACAGGGAAGGTACATGAACAATACACAAGGGGCTCCACAGTGGCACCTCTAATTACTGCCCCATCCTCCAAAAATTGAACTTTTACGTGAACCTCAAAAGTTATTATGAAATATTTTGGACTTATCCTCCAGACCACTTCTACTCACTCACTCCTACCCATTTTGTACTCTATTCTACTGGCCCCAGTTATACACAGAAGAGAAATGTCCTCCCTTCCTCCTCCTGCCATAGCCAACAGCAACTCCTACTTTCAAGGTCTCCCTCTACTCCACTTCCTCTGTAAAACCTTCCCCAAACAGACTAGCCAGCTGGCTCACTGAGCTCTCTCCCACCTTAACCCTATGGCATTCCTCCTTCACAGCACAGCTGAGTATCTCATGCTACGGTCATATGGACATCTGTCTCATGAGGTTTCTCCCTCAGACACTGGGGTGGTGCTTCCCCAAGGGGATCACAAATTATTAGGGGGAAACAAAGCATATTGTTTTAAGCTTATTGCCAAGCAAAAAGGGGAACTAATGAACCCTAGCGAGAATCAAGATGGTGATGACTCTCACTTAACCACAAATTCCCTGGAGCAAGTCAACTGTCAGAAAGTTAGACATTCCCCTGACACAAGTGGAGAAGAAAAGCCTAGGGCCAGCCTGTGGAAATAAACATGGGGGGCTGAACAGCACCAAAAATACTTTAAGAGCTTTCACTCAGTACTCCGGCAAATGCCATAGGCACTTACTACTCAGTCATATGAGGTGGGGGCTGGAGGGTGGGGGCAATGGCCAAGGCAAAGAGGAGAAGACCAAAGGAATGCATGCTGCTGACAGATTTTCCCAGAGACCTACCTTACTAATCAGTTTGCTATGTGGGGCTAACTAAGTCTAGGTCGGCTAACACAAGGATTACCTAGTTAATAGCCACCAGTAATCCACAGACCCCTGTGCAACACAGTAAGCATATTTTGAGGTGCCTGCCTACCTGCCGGGCCCCTTCTTGAGAATTGCTCCCCCTCTTCTATCATGGTTGATCAAGCCAGACACTGGACCCAAGCTGAGCCTATTCGACCGTCTCTGCCAGGAACATGGAGTGTGAGTAATGAGAGACTGAATGTATCTAACAGCAGCAGAGTAAGGGCCACAGCGAGTCAAAGTCACATGCAAACCTCTGTAACAGAGGAACGAAAACAGGAAAGCAGAGGAAGGAAGCAGTACTACAGAAAAAAAGAAGTGAGAAGGTATACAGTTTGTGAGAAAATTACTGACAGAAAGACACAGAAATACACAGAAGACAGGAGAGACAGAGACAAGGGGGCGGAGACAGAGAGAAGGGAACAAAAAAAGAGAGAGAGAAAGATGGATCTACACACAGAAAAAGAAACTATCTCACAATGTCCTTGCTGTGCTCACTGTGCTCCCGGTTTGTAGCACCAAGATGTGGCCATGAGATGGAGGAGAGAGGCTGGCAGAACCCTCGGCCTGACTGACAGGCACTCCCCCTTGCTTCTGCTCCTTCTCCTTCCCTGCTACGAATTTCCCCCGTGGCTGGGTACTCTCTGCACACGGTGGAAATTCAATGCCTAGTGTTGAAGGAATGAGTGAAGGTGGCACCTCATGGAAGTCCCTGCAAAGCCCCTTCTGAAAGACCAGCTGGCAGGGTACAAAAGAGCCTGGTCACATGGGTTGCCTCTGGGTAGGAAGACTAAAACTTGGAGAGGGAGGGAGACTTTTTCCATTATATACCCTTTTATACATTGACTTATTTACCCTGCACATAGAAATAAAAATACTTAATTAACGTGCAGTCAGAGAGCAGGGTCGGGAGTAGGGTGGGGTTGAGTAAGCTGCCTAGGGCATGAAAGTTAAGGAGGCCTCACTGTCAGAGCCACTGGGCAAATCATTCTGAAATGCTGGCCCCAAGTGCCTTGCTTGTTTTACCCAACTCTCAGCCCTGCCAGAGTGAAGAGAGCTCTGAAAACCGTCTACCAAGCAGAAGTCATCAGAAAGTATTCCAGATTCTAATTCAGAAACAAAATTTCATCATCTGATCCCACTCCTCTATGCCCCCCAGGACTTCCATCCCCAACTAGCACCAATGAGTATCAGAGCTCAAACAGAAGAAAGCAGGGCTGGATTCAACGACCACAACGAGAACATCCAAGCCTTCCCTCTTCTCCTGATCTCATTTCCTTGCTAGAAAGCCTGCACCAGTGAGTGTGGGACTCATATGAGGGTCTTCAAAGCTCTCTGGGGGTTTGTTGCTGAGAAAGTACTTAAATAGCAGACCCAAACCCAAAGCAGGAACAACAAATCCCCAAGTCTCTCTGTGGCAAAGACTGCTAGTTATCTTCCATTTTTCCTTAGTAATAAAAATTGTAGCTGGAGTCATGGCTGCCAAAATAAAGTTTACATTTCCCAGCCTCTCTTGCAGGCAGGTATGGCCAGGTAACTAGGTTCTTGCCCCAGAGATGTAAGCAAAGTTTTAAATGAATAAGACCTCAAGAAGTATCTTTGAAGGATGGGGTGTACCTTTCTTTATCCTTCCTGTCTACAATGCAGACCTGACAGCTAGAGCCTGATTAACACTCTTGAACCACCGGCTAAGAGTCACATGCTGAGGATGGCAGAATAGTAGGGCAGAAGGAAAGAACCTGGCCCCCTGAAGAATTATGATGTCATCTTACAAGCCTCGCACTGCCTACTTTTATTATGAGAGAGAAATCAATTTCAATATGTTTGAGCTATGCTACTTATGGTTTTCAGTTGTTTAAAACATAAACAAATCCGTAATAATACGTGCGCCCTCAGACAGACTTGCACCTCTCATACTCTCTGATGAGGAGCTGGCCTGATGATCTGAAGCTGTAGTCCCAGTCATGCTGACAGTCACAGCTCTCTCCTCCTACAGGAAACAGGGAGGAGCAGGAACCCTTCCAATTCCTCCCACAAACAGGTGTTGCTAAGAAGCATTCAAAGACAGAGAAGCGTAATCCTTAATAACAACAAAAAATAGCTACAAGGTGGGAAATGAAAAAAATCGGGGGAAAAAAATCATCTACAAGTCTATTAAGAGAGAAATGTTCTACAACAGTCCAGGGGAGAAAAACACTTCCAAATGGAAATCCCATGATCAGGATCTACCTCTTAGGATGTGTACGAATATGTAATGTACATGCCTTTTTTAAAAGCCTCCTTGTTTTTAATTATACAAATATACACATTTAGTCTTAGTATCAAAATATTCAAACTTTATATAGGGTTAGAGCACAGGATCTTTGAGCAACTGTGGTCAAGATCCAGTTCTCCTTTGGCCTGTCACCGTCAGAACATGAAAGCCATCTGTCCACATCAATGACTGACCAAAATAGAGAAGAATCCTTTCTACTCAGACCTCTGCCCAGGCCCAAGTTCAAGGCAGCAAGGGACAATAGAAAGCTATTCAGAAACCATCCAGTGTTTCTTCACTCCAGTCTCACGCTTGGCAGTATTCCTCCCTTTCCTCTTCCTCCTCACTGCTAGCCTCACTGAGCAAACTCTAAGGGGCAATGGAGTCTCAGGCGTTAGCAGGCCTCTGCTTCGATACCACTGTGTCAGTGCTGAACTGACTCCCATGTTGAAATCTTCATGGCAAATAATCACCAGTGATGTGTGTGAGGTTACATAACAGTCAGGATCCAACAAAGAAAAATGGACCGACAACATCTAAGCCAGAAACATACACTTCTGCAGTCGTTCTCTTACAATGCTGGGCACCTGGCCAGAGAGGGGACCTATGTACCTCAATAACTGCCATTTCTGCTCACAATCTCATAAGTGAATAAGAGCCCCTATGCATAATGAGTTCAGTCGGCAACCTGAGGCCCCACCTCAAG